ATGCTTGATAGAGTTACCTCCTCCTGTCTACAGGTTGGGGTCATGATGGTGAACAAGTGTGCAAAGTTTCAAAGCCATATGCCGATGGACTTTGAAAATATTTGAGGTATTACAAAAACTTTAACGTAAATTCTAAGTCAAAAAAGGGGCATAATTCTGTCAAAATGCTTGATAGAGTTACCTCCTCCTGTCTACAGGTTGGGGTCATGATGGTGAACAAGTGTGCAAAGTTTCAAAGCCATATGTCAATGGACTTTGAAAATAGTTTGAACTATTACAAAAACTTTAACATTAGTGGTTACCCCGACGCCGACGCCGACGCCGACGCTCGGGTGACTACAATAGCTCTACTTTTTTTATCGAATAGTCGAGCTAAAAAGTAAAGTAAACACACAAGTTTACGATGAATATATCTCTTTTTAGAATGGCAGATGCCCCTACGAATATTTTTATTTTGTAGTTTTTCAGTATAAACAATTTATTATTTGTAAAATTTGAGATATATATTAAAGAAACATTGATAATTTTCAAACACATCATTCAAGCTTTTCCACCTTAAACGGTAAAATAATTATAGAAAATAAGAAATATCACGTAATTGTTTTTTGTTGTTAATTAGGTGTAATTCGGACTAATTCCCTAGAGGTAAATCCGTAACGTACCGGCAAACGGTATTTAGCTAGGTTTTCGAAAAGGTCAATTAACTAATCATGTACGATTTACAGATCACATGTTCCTCCATGTACCGAAAACAGGTCACGTGCTCCTCCATGCCTCAAAATTTAAACGCGTACCAATACCCTGCGGTGTTCAGACCGCAGGGAATAAGAACTCCATCCCTCGTGTAACACTTCCTCTCCCGTGGTTAAATGAACTACTGTACGCTTAATACAGACAGATAAACGGAAATTTCCCATACGATATACGTATATACGAGTGCCATATGCATGATATTGATGGACTCGTGGATAGCTATAATTATCTCAAACGTTATAATATGTAACTAATAAAATTCCAAGGTTTCACCACGTGATATTCAAATATAAATCATTATTGGATCAAGTTCTTACCAATTTCACTTTGCCAATTTCACGTCGTTGTTTATTTCTCGAGTCCGAAGAAATATATATTAATACACTTGTTACTATATATAGTAACAAAATTGCCTGTGATTTCAACTGATTACAAGAAAAGCATTGATGCAAAGCATCAAAGGGCGTCCAAGCAAGAAATGCATCAGGTGTAGATGAACTAGTAGATATATGTTGATAAACTGTTCAATGGTTCATTGGTTTTTACCAGAATTGTATATCACTTATGAACGAAGGAACGAAAGACATTGTTCATTATTTATAAATTTGATTGGCATGCTAGAAATTAGAATATAACTTGTTATTTCTTTATGATCGTGATTATTAATAGCAACGGATATACATGTATACAATCATTTATAATCCATTTGAGTTACGCATGATCAACACCACACTTGTGTAATTGTCCTTATTATGTTATCGCTTTTAGCGAAGACCCCCTCTTAAGGTATCTGTTCACACTTAGTAACAATAAGACACTTGTTATATTAACATGTTGATCATGTTGAGCATAAATGTTTATTATACACTAATTGTAATATCTTTTTTAAGTATTATCATAGACACCCGAGTATGCTCAAACTCACACAATTGTTGAATTCTACAAATGTAAAGGTCTTAAACAAATTGGCTCTGTTTTGCAGAAATGCTTTTAAATTAAGAACAAATGAATTAAATTCTTTGTTATGATCTGATGAAATATGTAAAGTTGTTTGCATGTTTATAATATGATATTTGCATTATTACTATGTGCATGTAAAATTTGTTGTATGTAACGATGAACTGTAAATGTTCAAGTTAGATTCAAATAAAATTTCTGTTCTGTTCTGTTCTGTTCTGTTCTATCTTTTTTAATAAAAAAAATACAGATTTTATGAATATTGTTTGCTTTTCTTTTTGTGTTTTATGCACTATTTTAATACTGAATTTTTACGTTTACTATTATTTTAAGAATTCAATTGTCATAATGACCGACGAGTATAAGTCAAAACTTAACTGCAAAAAGTCAGTAAATTATGGTTAATCTTTCAATATATAATATTTTTATTCTTAAACCATATACATGTACATTTGTATTTTTCTTTATCATTTCTTAAATTATCAATCAATTGAATAATTCTTAAAATCTGATTTGTAACTTTGAACAATTCCTCGGCATCTTTACTAAACACGAATAACAAATTAAATAAAATGTTTCAAAGTTGATAGTGTCATATTAATGCCATAAAAATGTACATTTTTTCTCAATTATTGTACATATTTATTGTTTTTATCTCATATAGATAAAATAAAACATGCGATGTGTGTTGTTGGGGTTTTTTTTCGAATTGTATGTTTATCTATAATAATAATCAATAATTTTGAGAGTTGATCTGTGTTTCTTAATTATTGTAACCAAACTAAGTGACAAACATTCATTTTGAAAAAAAGCTTATTTATCTCACGGATTTATATTAATAAATCCGTGTTTATCTGTAAAAATATTTGTTCTGTTCTGTAACGATATCAAACATCTACTCCAAAACCGGGAGAGACCGGACAATAAACGTGTGGTACTATTCGCCGGTCGTTAAAATAGACCAGGAGAGACCGGGATTTACCGACAGGAGTACATCCATCTATAAATAGATTTTCGGAATATTTAGGTCATCAACTCATCATTATATTTACAGCTTTCGGAATAACATACCATAATAATCCACTGTGTACTACAAAATGATAAATAGAAATACCCTGAAGAGCGCGATTTATTGACGGAAAAGGTTATTTAGATTCTAATTTGAAAATGTTTGCATTGCGAAATTCTCCAGTTCGCTATTCATTGTACAAATCGCGACTAATTAATAATCAAGCACCCTCATACCGATCGGAATGATCGGCTTTTATTATGAACAACTATAAATGGCTCGAGAAGTTGCTGTCGCCCTTTCACAAAATCTGATTTCATTACATAAAAGGCGCCGCGCTTCGGCGCGGACGCCAATGAATGTCACGTGACCTATTATGAGTTTGCGGCCCGGGGCCGAGAACTAGTTATCAGCCCGCAGAACATGTGCACGTGCACAAACTGAAACAGTGACGTCATATTTTACGTCATCAAACAGTTAACTATAAAGTGAAAGTAGGTTATCAGCACGAATCGCTTTATTTTATTATGAGAGCTTACAGTAAGCGTATTTCGTACAAACACATTTTTGTTACTATTGAAATTTGAAGAAATAATACGACAAATTCATTTCGAAAAAAATGAAAATAAAACTTGCTTCTAGATTCTACTGCTTTGAAAACATCTCTGTACAGAACAGTAGTAGTGTAGACAAGAATTTCAACGAAAGAACTTCAAAGTATTTGTGTGTTTTTTTGTGTTTTTTTTTTTGTAAATGCTACTATTAGATCTACCAAGTGTATTAAAGATATCAATACACGGCAGAGTATGGCCGGAAGGTGATAATCGGCCCTGAAATGAATAATGCCCTCGGGCTGAAGCCCTCGGGGCCATTATTCATTTTGCGGGCCGATTATTACCTTCCGGCCCTACTCTGCCGTGTATTAATCTCTTATCAAATCCATATATTAATTGTACTCAATGCAGCACCTTGTCCTGTATAGGTTTGGTGGCTTCGCGTCCAATACATTTCCGTATTAAACTCAAAATGTATAATAACCTCATATAATCGTTACATTTTGGTAGTCTGAAAATATTTAACTCTAAATTTGATTTAAGTGATTGCGGATAAGTAATCACTCATTTGACAATAACAAAATAGTAATATATTTGCTGAAACAAAGCACATGTACTTATACATTTTGTGTGTTGATTTTTAACCAGAGATTGTACATTTTCAATGTGTTTCAATTGTGCGTTATGATTTTTGTTTCAATGACTTTAATAAAATCGCAATATACAACCCTTGTCGCCTTACAAAACTTAGTTAAATGTAAATATTCTTGGAGTGGTGCTAACGTGTCAGATTGAAAGTTCCATGATAACCGCCGTATGAATTCACATGTTTATAAATACAAAATGTCACCATTACAAGAAGGAGAAGGATTTCATAAGACAAGTTAATTGGCTTTCATTCTAAACCTGTTTTTTTTAAAGAATATTTGAAATGCTTTGTGTATATTGTAAAATATAACATGTATATACATGTATATATTCTGAGAAATAAATTATGTTTAAACTAAATGTTGAATTCAGCATAAGCCGGTGCTAGGTGGGGTGGACGGTAACTTGCACTTTCCATTACCTCCATGATCAGACTCAATCAAACAGAGCCTGCAACAATTACAATTTTGTCGTTTTGTGCGTTCTTTAGGGAATCCGTTTTTCTCTATTTTAACGTTAATAGTCCATTTTGTTTACATTTCAGAGGTTACACAATAAAACAGAAAACAGTGCAATACTTGATGGGGAAATAATTTACTGAAAGTTTGTAAAATGGTGGACAGATCATGTTTTACATTTTTAAGAAATAAAATAAATTTAGTCATAGCATGTACTAAATATATTGTGTGATAATGCTGTACACAGACGATGATGAGCTTAAATCTTACATATTAGATTTAAAGTGTTCTGTCATACACAATACACGTAATTAAAACTTTGATTGTGGCGGCGTGGTCGAGTGGTTAACGCGTCGGACTAGTAATCTTAAGGTCTGGCTAATAATATAAGGATTACTGGCCGCGAGGAGTTTACCCCGTCAGGGTCAAGCCGTTTCCTTGGGCAAAACACTTTACACTTATTGCTTACTACTGATTGGTTCCAGGAACGGATTCGAGAATGTTTCAATAACACAATAGGACTAAAATTAATCAGTATAAAGTAAAACTTTGATTATTGGAATAATAAAGAAGAAAATCATTACAAAAAGCACACTTTATCGTCGATTATTTTATTTCACACGTAGTGTATATACTTTGGCCAAAATTGACATAAAATAAATGGTAAAATTATATAAAAATTAATCAGGAAATGTCATACACTTCATTTCTTAAATTTGCTTTAACATAATTTTATAACACTACAAACAAACAAACAAACAAACAAACAATTATAATAAAAAGTTAGTTTCTGTAATAAGACTGCTTAAACAATCATTCTGTGAACATTGAATCAAGTTCAGATCCTAGTATGTGAAAGCAACACACTGTTTGTTTCAAGCATGCACTCAATGTTTTAATGTGTAAATTGCTATATTATGCCTTTTGTAATTGGTCGAGTATCTTCTGTTGTTGTAGTTGCTTTTATCAAAATAGTATAGGAGAATTTAGCTAGTCTTGAAGATAGCTTTTCTTGTTTTGTTATCTATAAAATTGTATGTAATACAGTACATTTAACAAATACAGACATTTGAGCCGTGTCATGACAAAACCAACATAGTGCGTTTGCGACCAGCATGGATCCTGACCAGCCTGCGTCGCTATCAGTTTCTTTACTTGTTATAGGGTCTGTAAGCGAACAGCATGGATCCTGATCAGACTGCGCGGACGCGCAGGCTGGTCTGGATCCATGCTGGTCGCAAACCCATTATGTTGGTTTTGTCGTGACGCGGCTCATTTTTTTTTAAATTTTATAGTTTATTGGCAAGCTTTAGCTTTTTACCCTTTAATGAAATGCAACATTTGTAACGTAACACTTATTTAAACCATTGCCGTGCTAAAACCACCATGAAGTGTTTAATCTTTGCCACTATTATAGAGCCCTACGAGCATGCACATCCATATACAGTCTGACCAGGCTCTATACTGTTGGTATCTCGATTTTTCTTTTAATTCAAATTTTGATATTGGAATCCCTTAAACTTTGAATGCACTGTTCCAAATAAAGTGTTGTACGAGTTCATTACACAATTTCAGTCGGTTAAGGGTTAATGCTGATTATGTGACGTGATGTTTTTCAATAATGAGTAATATGAATAAATGATTATCTTATGATGGCAATGATAATATTACAAATTAAAGACAACAGGAATATAATATTAACAACATCTTCATACAAAAAGCTACATTCGCTTAAATATTATTTGTGAGTAGTATAACTGTGAGTAGATCTTAAAGGGACTCCATTGAGGTTTTAAAGGCCTAAAAATATACCATTTGAATTTCCTACATAAATGAGCTGGGGCACTTTAAAAACAGACAGTTAAGAAATATACTTTGAAATAAATTGAAAATCGTATTTTTATGCTTTTCTTAGCCCGATTTGATTGAAAAGCGTTTAAACGCTTATCATTTTTGGGCAATTTTTTTTTACAATTTGAATAATTATTCTGGAAAAACAAAGTGCGGAATTATCTGAAATTTTTGCATAAAGATTAGTTGTCTAAACCTACATCAAATGGTACATTTTTTCTGGAAAAAATATTTTTAGTCCCGTCATGTCAAAATACCTCAGTGGAGTCCCTTTAAATATAACAGCACGGTTATACGAACTGTTTATAAAATTGGCCAGCTTTTAAAATAGATTTTTGATAATTCAATGGAAGGCCCATATCCGATTTATTGTCAATAATAATACATAATGAAGACAAGTGTAGTAAAAACGAAATGAGTAGGAACGTATATGGTGTAAGCCAGTTAACTGTAGATTTGAATGATTCTATAAACTTAATATATTAAATATATCTAAATACATGAATGTACTTAAGACATACAGTGCCTATTTTAATACAAATTATCGAAAAAATTATTATTACCATAATTCACATTATATCATTGGCAGAGATAGAAAATATTGTTGTGTATCTAAATATGACACTTATATATAAGACCTTGAAACAATTGAAATAAATTCCTTATGATGTGCTCATTATCAAACACAAATCTTACAACATAAACACTTCCTTGATAAACACTTAATCCAAAGCCTCTGCTGACGGCAAACATATATTACCCACGTGACCAGTCCAGACCAAGATCAGCCGGCACTTCCTTGTCATTTGATTATGGTCTGCACTTTTCGCTATTCAATGCACTTTTTGCTATTCACTGCACTTTTTGCTATTTCACTGCAGTTTTCGCTATTCACTGCACTTTTTGCCTTTCAGTCAATATATACATGTATTTTGTTTGGAATTTTCCTTAGAAATGATTAATGGTTTTTGTCAATCACATCATCGTGGCCCTTTCCGATAAAAATTTATAATAGCCGAGATATTCCGATTTGGATTTTTTGTCAAGTAGTCCATTTATGTGCGGTTTGATTGACAAGTATTTCAAATGATAACGTCGTACTTGACTTCGTAATGATAAAGTCTATAAATGCATTTATATCCATGTAGAAAGATGCATGGTTGTCATGTAAACAGGATGCTGTATAATTTGGTAGATATACGCAGATGAAATATTTCATTTATTCACTAAAAAAAGAAAAGCATACTTTAAAATGGTATGGATATTAAAAGATATCACAAAATATAAATTCTTGATTGACAAGAAAAGCATAATTACTTCGTCCATATATACTGTATATACAAAGACTGAATAAAATATGAATTGATTTAAATGTAAATGGTCCTTTAATTTTGGATAAGACAATTTATCAAAATCATATTAAAGTGACATTATTTTCATTGTCAAGTTTAGCTGAATTCACTATATATTTCAAGAGATTGACTGATTTTTTTGTGATTGACCAACAGTTAATTAATACTGGAAAATGTTTACCATAAAATATAAATCTGCCCTAAATAAAAAAGACTGTTCTTCTTTTTCTAAATTGAACGTTACAGGTAAATTACGAGATTATTCAAAGCAGTTTTCTTGGGCCACATGAGTTATTTATCGTTTATCCGAGGTAAATTATAAAATTGAATAGAAATATGGCAAAATGTAAATTAATTTTGACTTTAACTAGTCACTAGATACCCTTGGATAGGCATAATGTCACTTTAATACTTAAATAGCATATACAAATTTTAAATAACATATAAATATATATCCTCTCCTTCCTAGGCAGTAGTAATTCTGTGACAGCTTATTTTTTGTGCATGTTGAGGCAAATGAGTATAACTGTAGTAGTGTGACAGCTTATTTTTTGTGCATGTTGAGGCAAATGAGTATAACTGTAGTAGAGTGATGTCTGTAATGGCATGCCCAACATTTGTATTGACCCCTTCGAGATTTGTAAATTAAGTTTGTTGTATCCTTCGGATTGTGTTTTTAAATAAACATTTTTGGGATCTAGTCCTATTCAGAACACTATGGTTGTTTATTTACGCCTCTTTTCTTATTTTATATCTAAAATTATACTTTTTTTCGGACTAGCAAATACTATGATAACAATCAATGCTATAGATTAAACTCTTCATAATCTTCTCTACGCCTTTCTTTTGTTCGTTTAATTAGCGGCATTTGTTGTTGATGATCCGGTCCATGTTCGTGCTTATCTTTCCCCTCATCTTCCTCGTCCTCCACCTCCTCACTACTGTCACTTTTTTGTGACACATTATCCACATCCTCGTAAAGCACCGCATTTGATTGTTCATTAACGTTCTCATCACATTCTTCATAAACAACTTCATCAATATTAGCATTTTTACTTACTGGCACATCGGCAACTTTTTTAACTTCTTCTATATTTGGTGCGTTGTCCTCGTCATCAACACCACATTCGTCGTAAATCACCTCTGTCATATCATCTTCTATTATGTCATTAACTTTCAATTTTGTTTCAGTATTGACGTCCTCCTGCTCCTCCTCAGAATCTTCAGTTATAACATCTTTCTCTGGAAAGCTTTTCTGTTTAGATAGTCTATGACTAGTGCTGGATTGTCTCTGTGAAGTGATTCGCACAGCTGGTTTTGTCTGATCAAATTCTTCACCATCTACTGTTTTGTCTTTCAAGCTAATGTGATGGTACTGGCTTATGTTTATATGAGCAGATTTATGCACATGAAGATGTTCGTTCAATGCATTATACGTGTCTTCTTCTTCGTTAGCAGAATCCTTTAAACTAAGTTTTCTCACTTGTTCAAAGCTTGAATAATTTTCATGTTCATGATCTTTCAAATTCTTTTTCTTTGAATCAGTACGACCAGAGTGAGAAATGACATCGTAATCTTCTTCAGAATCGGATTCATTTTTCTGTTTTCCTGCTTCTTTTTGAATCTTTTTAACATCACTGAAAGTGTTGTATTCATTCGGAGTATTGTCTGTTTTGGCGTCATCTTGAGTGCAATTGTATACTTCTTGCGAATTTCTATCATCATTAGACTGATCTCCGTTGTGTGTATGTGTGTGTTTGTCAGGAACACTATACTCGTCTTCTTCTAACTCTTGAGCCGTTTCTCTTTTTGTAAGTGCCGAACCTCTATTTTCTGCCGATTTATCTGAGCATGTCCCATTCGATATAATATGCGAATCATTATTTGCTACATTGTCGCCTTTTAATTCAATATCAGCCTCTTCGTAATTGTTCGGCGTTGCAATAGAGGACATATTCGAAATTTGTATTGCATCTTTTAAACCTGAAACATGATAACGTTTCTATCGATTAAATACATGTATAGTTATATATTTATATTATAGTTATATATTTTCTTCTGAAAATTATTTCGTAAATTTAGCTTTGAGAAAATATTGATCATATTCGATTCAATTGCTTTGTTTAAGAAATGTACACTAATAACCGCTATCACAACAGGAAACTCATTTTGATAACACCAAACTCTATGTGAGTAAAGTCTACTTAAATTTTATAACCATTACTTTATCATCATCATCATCATCATCATCATCATCATCATCATCATCATCATCATCATTTGTTGGACAATCTTAATATTTTTACAAAAGTTATTCGGAAATTGTGGAGAGAAGTAGGCAGACTTACTGGCATCATAACCTGGATTTTCTTGAGAATTTGAAATGATTGAGGCCCCCTTTGCTCCGCTTTTAAACATACTGAGGAGGAAAAAGAATCACAAAAATAATTCTTTATGAGAAACTTATCATGTAATAAAACGAATCTGATATATGTACGCATACTTAGACACACTTCTTAAACGCTTCTGTTTCAATTGTTGTTGTTGTTGTTGTTATTATTATTATTGTTGTTGTTGTTGTTGTTCTTGTTGAAGCATATCCAAAACACGTAATAAGTTTGTTTTGTGCCGGTGTAGATCTACCTGTCTTAATACAAGTATCCCGTTTTGAATTTTTGGAAGTAAACATTACAACGAACGTGTGCACTTTGGTTCCCACAAGACACTGGATAAACGCATCTACTTCCAGTTTTCGCAAGAAAGTTAAAAGTTAAAATATACTAGCTCCCATGACAGGTAAACTGATCAGAAGAAGCACTAGCAACGCCTGTTATCACAATACAGTGTAAACATTGAATTGTATAGGCTTGCAGGACATTGTAAATGCACGGCTTACCAAACATGGCGCTTTTAAGAAACACGTTTTGAGACTCTACTCCGAATAGCAAATTATACATGTTATTCAATGTTAGTTAAGAGAATATAATGTTAAAGTAAGAGGAGTTGTAACATTTATATTCAAAATAGTAAAGAAGGATATATATATTGTTTTGTTTTCTTCTAATACTGACCTGCTGCACATGTGTCTTCTGCGAATGCAGACGACAGTGATTGTGAGGGTGGTGAGAATAAAAAGAGCTATAAGCCCTATTATCAGGTACAACATGTTGTCTTCAAAAAAGCCTTGTGAGTTGTCGGACAAATATTCTATATCCGAAATACTGCTATCAGTTTCTGTAAAATAATGTGCTATATATAATATGATTATATAGTTTTCCTGTTGTATTTTGTCTTATTGAATGTAATCATTGAATGTAATATCAAAACTGTTTTTGAAGTTGGAAGGTTACATTTTAATTTGGAAGCTCAGAAATAGAACGACTGTTAACAGCTGGTCGTACTGTTCTTCGTACAACAATGTCGCCAAGATTTAAGAGGAACTTCACTTCCAAGAATTTAAAGGTCCAAAAACCCTAAAACATAAAATTTGATTTTCTTACATCGACCATCTGGGACACTTAAAAAAGAAAGATATTCACACGATAATAACGAGATATACTCAGAAATTAATTGAAATTCGTATTTTTGTGTTATTCTTAGACTGATTTGAACGAAAGTTTTGGTCATTTTTCACAATTACAATAATTACATGTATTCTAGAAGAACGGAGTGACCAAATAATCTTTAACTGTGCACACAAGTTATTAGTGTAGACCTTATCATAGAATTTAATCTCGGAAAATTATTTCCATTCACGTCATGTAAATAACCCTCATTAGAGTCCCTTTAATGATTCCCAGAATTCTTCATATACATAATAAAAGACGGCGGAGATAACGATTTGGCTTTGTCCGACAGTCAATCCGTCTTTCCATCTTCATACATAAATAGTTCACAATCATTATTACCAAATAAGCCATTGTAAATATTAAGTTATTTTCATTTTTAGTTCATTGAATGAATTTGATAATTTGAGCATGCACTTGAATCCTAAGATTGTATTTCTTATAGTAACAAACTTTAAATGAATGGCTAACTGACAAAGTAAGACTGTAATGTCACCTTATCTAAAAACGATGTCCTTATAGTTAAAACATATTTATTCCAGAATATATACATATAAATATAAACATTTACAATACAAATCAAACATTCTTATATCCAAGAAAATGATCAGAACGAAAGACTTAGTCTTATAATATCCTTCTCCTTTTTAGTGTATTTTTATAATGAGTCGAGTTTTGTATTATATCAACAAGTATGACAAATGAAAAATAATTAAAGATGCAAAAATGTGTTTTCGAAGTAGGAAACTATATAGCAATCAAATATGACATGAAAAGTACTGTTTAAATGTAATGCTGTAGCTAATAAAAACATAAACCAAGTACCGGAATTTGTCTAGTTAAGAGAAAGAAGAGTCTAAGAAATCGTTTTTTTTATTTCGGATATATAAATATATGTATGGTGTTGTTTTCGCTTGACATTGCTCAATTTTGTGAGCTTTGTATTATTACAATATTCTGAGGTGTAAGCAATCAGTAACGGCAATCAACTTATGTCTGTCATTAGGCAGGTGATATAAATCCTTTTAATACAAATCAGGAACAATGACAGATTTGAAATCCCGAAGCTCATCTGCAAATATACAATTATGTGTGGATCAATCTTGAATTCATTTGTTCATCTTTAAAAGCGTCTCTTGAATAAATAAAATATACATGTATACTGACCGTTGTCACACGTGCGTCCTATCCAACCAGGTTTACAGTCACACTGGCCGGTTACATTGTGACATGATTTATCTTTACTGTTAGTACAGTTACAATACAAGGAACAGCTTGGTCCGTATGTACCTGGCCCACATTCTGAAATAACAGATATAAACAGTAAGTATAACATGTAAATATAAGCCTTTCAAACGCATTAGATGTCACATGTCATTCTGTAAGTCATGTGTTTTCGTGACTAACCTGCAAACCTTGGTGTTATAAAAGACACTCTTTAGCTTAGCTTAAACAGAATGTATTTTAGTTCGATCGTATTGGAAATTATAAGCTTATACACACAGTCTCGAATCCGATACTGGAACCAAGCAATACAAGCACCGATTGTAAAGAATGTTGCCAAATGAAACAACGGGTTGCCCTTGCTCGGGTTTGAACCCACTCGGCCAACAATCCTTAGATTACAAGTCCGACGCGTAAACCTCTTGCATTTTTAAAAAGGTATTCAATCATCTCTTTACAGATACAAAGGTATACATTATTAATTGTGATAATGAAGGCAACTAAATTACTCTATTTAGAGCATTTTGGAACATATTATTAAGATTTAAGTGTAAACGAACTCGCAAAAATACCCGAAGAGGGTCCAGCCATAACAAAAAAGACTACGACTACAATCAAGTCAATGTCACCAAAAGCTTTTAACCCAATACCTGCTTAATTTGTATAATGGATTTGTCCAACAATCCATTTGAAATTGAAGGGATCTTAATATCAAAATTTAAAAACAAGTTACCAACTAGTACAGAGCCTGGTCTAACTCTGTACAAGTGGTAAAGTCCGCTTTCGCTTCCAGCAGGCAGGTTAAGGGTTAAAGCACAGACACTTGGCGTGTGGAGCTCAAAACACCTTTAAAATCCAATGTGTATTTGTCAATCCCAGCACATGTACTTATCATATATATCATTAAAACTTAAATTAGCTATTTTGAAAAATTAATCATATTTCAACTTCAATAATTATTATAGATTATGGATTTTAAAGGCGGTTTGAGCTTCCCCACTCCAAGTGTCTGGGGGTTAAAATTGACTGTTATCTCTTTCTTTTCATTTAATCAAGAAATCTTTGCTCATGAATTTTTGCCAAAACGTATACACATACTGTGTTTGCAGCTTTTCACACATTGAGCACTAATTTTTTGCAAATATGACCATGTGTTGAAATGAATCTTTACCAAACTGTGCACGTATTGATATGAATCTTTGCAGGATGACACACATAGAGTAATGAATCTTTACAAAATGCGCACGTATTGGTATGACTCTATGCAGGCTATGACACACATAGAGTAATGAATCTTTGCCAAAATGTGCACGTATTATTATGAATCTTTGCAGGATGACACCCATATAGTAATGAATCTTTGCAAAATGTGCACGTATTGTTGTGAATCTTTGCAGGATGACACATATAAAGTTATGAATCTTTGCCAAAATGTGCACGTATTGAAATTGATATTTGTATAAAGTTACTGACATGCAAATAAATTATTTTTGCAACATTTGCACTCAGTATATTTAATTATGGCATATCGTGTATTTTGGTTGTAAATTGCTTAAGCCCTGGGCTTATTATGTTTCCCATAATGCTTTAATTTTCTGTTAATTTATTAGTTTCCTTTTTTTTCAAAAAAGCTCTTCTTTTTTCATTTTTTTTTTAAGTAAAGTAAAACATGCCAGATCAGAATTGTACACAGATCTAAAGATCAATGACAAAATATATACATGTACCAAACAATAAGCGCGGTTTATAAAAGCCTTTAGTTAGAGCTTAGTACTAGGCCAAAAAGCCCCTGTAACTTGCAGTCGGGTCAAGTTCCAACTTGTTCGCCACTGTGTTTGCTCTATTAAAATAATTGCACAAAGCAGACGATATCTATCTCCGACGACCAAACTTCCCAATCTAATTATTAACTGGACAAAACAACATAAAAATGGACCATGTGTCCAGCTATACATGTATTTATGTATATGGTTAAAGTTATCAATACTAATTCATTATCATTAATAGTATGCAGATATTATCTGACCTTGGTCACATGTTCGCCCGGTCCACCCGGAATCGCAGACACACTGGCCAGATGTATTATTGCAGGAGTCGTTTAAACTGTTGTTACAGTTACAAAGCCAGATACAATTTGGCCCGAATGTACCTGCTGTACATTCTGAAAAATATAACATACATAATAAGCATACGAGAGAAAACATATTCTTCCAAAACTAAATAAATTTAACTTATATATACTTGTACGTTCTTTTCTTTAACACGTATACGTTCTCGTTTTAACATTATTTATTTAGTTAGTTATATACAGTGTAACTTCCGAATTCCGGAACTTCTGAAATCCGGAAACTTCTAAAAACCGAACACTTTTTTCTGTCCCGATTTTTTCCCTTCTATTTTCTATTAATATAATACTTCTGAATTCCGGAACTTCTAAATTCAGAATTCCGGACGATATTTTCGTAAAATTTGAGTCAAATCAATGCAATTTTACCTCCAAAAACCGGAAATATCCAAAGGTGTGAAATACATTGTAAATCAAGAATGTTTACCCTGCAGGAAGATTTAATCTCCCTATCGATTGTTTACTAATTAGCGGCGATCGTGTAATTTGACACGCGTTAAAATCACAAACTGTGAAATGGTATATTTGAAGTGATGCGGTTAATCAAAGTAATTTACGGCGGTCAGTTAATTTGAAGTGTTTATTAGCGGATTAAATGACAATTAATTGGACAATGTATGCATCAAACGTCTTTAAGGATTTTATTGCATTTGATGTAATAATTAATTAACTAGCATCGGACGATAGGTAAGTTTATGTAATTAACAACATTTCTACAAACTGATAGAAATTAAAAAGCATTTACAGGTAAGATAAAAATGTATTCTTTTCATTCACATCTTTATCTTGATTAAAAGACTATTATATATGATATTACAGAAATGGCCATATCATGATATTACAGAAATGGCCATATCTTCCTTGACATGTAGTGATATTAAGTGGCTTAGTTTTGTCCACATTATCATAAACCTCTGAATTCCGGAAACCTCTGAAATCCGAACTTTTTGACAAGTCCCATGGGTGTTCGGTTTTCGGAAGTTACACTGTAGTTAGTTATTTTGGCAATTTTTGCAAATAACCCAAGCGATGAGCTTGATAAAACATGACAGTCAATGCGCATGTATAAGCATGCAGTATAAAATAAATGATTTCGGTGAATTAGTGTGAAAGTAACCGTGCCCTGAGAGCAGTTAGGTCCGCGCATTCCGGGGCAAAGGCATGATCCATTTATATGATCACAGTAGTCCGTGTAAGTGCAATTATCAGAGCAGTTTCGTGAACAGTTTTCTCCGAAGGTGCCCATACTACAATCTGAAACAGATATTGTATGAATTAAAGTTAACACTGTGACAATAGGTCTTTTAAAATTTATCACAATAACTAACAATATGTAACGCGCGTTAGGCAGGTATTTATCAGTTATAGGTAAAACGGGGTGCACAAAAATATCTTTTGCTGTCTTGTATGGACGCCAGTCGTACTTTTAAATGCTAAATTTTGAAGCACAAAGTGGTGATAATTTACCTCAGTGCAAATTTGACAGAATATTAGTCAAAGAAATGAATTTAATCTGTAAATGACCATAAGTTCTTTTTAGCAAATTAAGGGATAGTAATATCCTGTCTAGTCTATTGACTTCCAACAGATTTCCATCGAAACCTTTATTGATTTGTTTGTAATTATACATGACTTGAACCGACTTTTTATCATTTATTATAATACAGGTGACTATTGAAGATTGATTTTTATCTTAACTTTGCACACGAACAAATCTTCTTTTTTATATTTTTTTTAAAATACAAATATGTTTAATTTTTTTAAATACAAATATGTTTAACTTGAACATCAGAATCACAAATTATTAGTTGAAATTTTAAAAAAGACCTATTATTAACCTTTAATGAACTTTTTCTCATTGTGTATACTACATTAACTGCTTAAATGAAAAATTGTGTCGATTATTACCTACCCGAATCACAATCTCTGTTTTTATAACCCGGCTTGCAATGGCAGTAGCCCGTTTCCCTGTCACATGTTTGCGTGTTACTGCGGTCACACGTGCAATTCTTCAAACAGTCGACACCAAACGTCATTGCGTCACACTCTGTGTGTTTAAAGAATAACGAAATACAATTATGTTTAGAGTTCAATAGATAATCTTATTGATGAAAGAATTAATTTGATTTTTTTTTATATAAAGTTGCTGTTACATGTATATTAATTTAATCAAATAATGGCATGTTTGGCTCTAATAAGTTGTTTAGACTTGACTCGAATACAGTAATAGGCTAACTGTGTGTATTTCTAAATAACATCGATTAAAGTAACTTTGTTAGCTGAAGTCTTATTAAAAAATCCAATGTTTGGTGATTTTACATATTTCTATTTGAAATTCGCAATTATGGCAATACAGAGTACATAAATTTAAAGAATTTCACAATATGGTAAGGCTTTCCTTGCCCTTTAATAAGAACGCATACCCTCAGAACAGTTCTCTCCATGCCATCCTGATTTGCATATGCACGAACCGTGCACGTGGTCACATGTTTGATTCTCGTTACACATGCAAGTCTCATTACAAAACAACCCGTATGTATTATTGGTACATTCTACAAAGAAAAATATGTATATACATGTATATTTATTTAAGTGGTATCCATTCCAGAAAAAGACTCTGCGCATTGGTACATGGTTATGTGTTTTAAGAGAATGAGATAATACTTTTCCCTCATATTCAAATCATAATTAAGAAGACTTAGAAAATACCATTATCTACCAGAATGAGATATGACCTTTCTCATACTATTTCATTATTTTATAAAAAAAACGAACAAGTTAATAATTTTATTACGTAATCCCATTATTTTATAATAAAAAAGGCTCAGGTATTTCTGTTATGACACAATCCAAGATCCTTGCGGCACAATCCTATTATCTCATTAAAAAAGCGTAGAGATATAGAGGATATTTGTTTGATTGTGTGTAAGATGAAATTTTATTTCATCTTGTGAACTTTAAAAACAGTATTCTCTCGAGTGGCATAGCCACGAGTGAGAATACTGTTTTTAAAATTCACGAGATGAAATAAAATTACATCTTACACAACAAACAAACAAATTTTCTTTTTATTTTATGCTTAAAAACAAGTTAAAACAAAATTTCTTTGATATTAACTTTAATATTAAAATCTGTTTTCCCCATTGGTAGCCTCTATTATGTACATGTAATAGTCGAATTTCTCATAAAATACAAGAAGTCTTAGGCTGAAAAATAAGTTGTTAATCAACGTTAAATGGCGGTGATATCATTCGTTTTATTAAAAAAATATGAATGATCGCTTGTTTTAATAAAAAAACAAACAATTCTACTAGGAGAAAAAAATCCAACCATCCATCCATATTTCTGTTACCTACTGCGAATTATATTAGACTTGGCTCTGTTAAATGCCATTTTTAAAAGTTGTGTATTTCATGGGAGAAAAATACTTGTGTTTTATTCAGAGGAATATCATTTGGATTTGTTAGTCATACATCTTTTTAAAAGAAAGAAAACTTATTTGAGGATTGTAACAGACAATATATAAGTATTGACAGATGTGTAAACATTAAAAAAAGGCTAGGAAACTTGGATTTGTTGAAAGGCTGTCTTACGAACGCTGGGTTGTTTACTTATTCTCCGGGCTGATGGCTGTTATTGCTTTTCAAGTTTTCAAAAAGCTACGGCAGTTATTGCTCGTGGGATAATTAAATATGCCCAAATGTCATCAAGAACAGTTTTGCATGTGGAAGATATGTATTTTTCAGACTTTAAAAATGAAACAAAAAAATAAGAGACGATATTTGGTGATTGGTAATTTGGATGAACAGAAGTAAGTTTTCTTCTTTTTATTACTTTTGACATTTAAGATATTTATCAATTTCAGTTTTGCTTTTCTCTAAACAGCCTGACATTGTCAAAATTGTCAGCAAAAATAAAATTGAGGTACCACATGGGGAAAATCTTAAAAAAGTAGTTTCGTCATTGAAAAGTGTGAAATTATATTTTGATAATTTTCACTGTGAAATTATCAAACATAATTTTCACGGATAAATCAGTAATCCACTGAAAAGCATAAAATAAACTTTTTTTACATATAATCCAACTTGTACCTCATCAACCAGGAGATGCATGTACAAGATTTATTACACAATTCCATTATCTTTATTGACCTATCTAAGATTTTCTCAGTCAGTCGGAGATTATACCATTATCAAGCAGTCCTTTCATTTTATCAACAAAATTCACTTAAATAACATAATACCCTTAACACTAATTTCACTTAAATAAGACGATACATTTTACATACATTTCACTTAAATGCAATAATACTCTCAACATACAAATGAGACAAACCCTTATCTTACAATCTCATTACATTAGAAACTAGAATGAGATAATACCCTGATCACACAATGCTCCTTCCCAGCCTGGGGATGTACAGTTACAAGACCCGTCAGCGGCATTGCATGTGCTGTTATTTTTACATCTACAATTGTGTTCACAGTTAACACCATAAAAATTTGAAGAACATTCTGTAAAAACAAAACAAACAAAAACATACAAAATAACGAAGTGTATCAAGTGCCATATAATGACTGTTCTAAAATGATAATTATGATAAATTTTGTGTAAAATAGTTTGTTAATAGTCTTTACCTAAAACTTTAACTGGCAATGCTGGTCCAACAGAGTGTTCATGAACAAGTAGAAAAATGTCGAATGAGATACTTCTTTATCTCAAAGCAACTCGTATACATGCAAAACATTAAACAACAATTAAAAGGACGTACTTTCTTTGAAACAGAAAATGTGAACATGTGAATAATACCAACAACATGGTGGGCTCTTATTTTCACTAGAAGCACATACCTTGTGAACAATTGTCGCCCGTGTACCCTGGTTCACAAGTGCAGTTTCCTGAATACATGTCGCAATATGACGGGCACCAGGTGCAGTTTTGCGTGCAGTTAGTACCATACAGGCCTTCCTCGCAACCTACCAAAAAATCAATGTGAATCAATACAATATGACAAAACGAAATAAGTTAGGTGACATTTAAATCTCCTTTGAAAGTTCGTGTTGAAAAAAATGAGTTTGTTACGCACCGCTTCCTCCAGGAAAACTAGGTTTAATGACAAAATTTGGACAATTATGTTCTTAGGTTTATATAAATCAATTCCTGAAAACCTAAACTTGAAAATCTGAAAACTTTATCTTTAGTATTTCCATAGATTGTGGAATTCTAAGGTCAAGACTGGATATATTTTTGACGCAATTGTTAGAAATTCATTCAAACTTTATTGTGTTACGTATGAGTTTAGTTAAAAGTTTGCCTTGGCTTCTGTCTGATACGCCTGGTGAGAGGCTTCTATCTACAAATTATTAAATACATGTAGCTGATTGTAGACGTTATTCCAGCAGTCTCAAATAGTTCCCATAGCAACTGTGGACTTATATCAGATACATACATGTATATGAAATTCTTGAAGTTAATGAATCATGTCATTAAATGACAACTGTTTGCTTTTATATTGTTGAAGTACAGCTGAAGTGACCCTCTGAATAGTTGTACCACTGATTTAGAATATAGAGGAGACCTATTTTTATCGGAAATTCCAGTACAGTAACCTTTCCTCGGTATTTTTTATGAATCAAAAACTAGAAAAATTTATTTTAATGATTTTTCCTTCACTTTTATTAAATTGCTTACGGTACGAGTTTTGTTTAATTGATATAAAAGATGTATTTATTTAAAATTTTCAACGTCATTGTTACTATAAGGTTCATTTTGATCAGGTCATATTTGTTAGCGTAAAAAAGTATTAAGGAATATGCTTAAAAAAGTTTTTTCTAAGGAAATTGTATACCATAACAAACTTAGTATCTTCTGACCATTTTCATCAAAGCTGCATTATGGTAATATGTTTATATAAACAGTCCAACTTTTATAAATTAGCTTTTATAAATAAGCTTATTTAAATGGCGGCTGATTTTCAGACGATGTCCATCCGAGAATGGTTTGTCTACCTGTAAAATTTACAGGGAAGAGCTGAATATAAGTAGAATTTTCACTGGCCATTTGAAAATTACCACATGAACTGAGGGAATCTCTTTGGCCATTTTAAAATTAGAAAAGTAATATAAAGGATCTTTCTGAAACGTATGCACTTCTAAATTACTTAGTAATCTAAAGGAGTTTCGGAATTGATTTTTCGGTTATTTGATACCTATGAACCGTGCTGGCTTTCTCCCATCATTTAAAACATTTTACAACATTTTACACTTCTTTTAAATTTCATTAATTATCTAGTAAATACCCTATTTAACGTTTACTTTTAACTTTTAGTTACCTTGCGTGCATCCATTGCTATCATTGAAGAAACCAGGACAACAATTGACCACCTCGTACGGTTTTTGTACGGTTATCATTTGGCTGATCATCTTTGTCTTTTTGCTGAAAGACAAGAAAGATAAGCACTTTACAGACGTAATTGATTAAGTGTGTAAACACATAAAAGAACTTCATGCTGTGTTTCAACAACTGCCTTAAGTATAATTTGTTAATGGTTGGTTAGATAGAGGGACGTATCTGACGATTAATTTGATCTCTAAATAAATTATAATACATAGAAGATATTCAAGTTTTTTTCTAGAAATGCAGAATTTATTTTCATTATAAATAATAATTTCACGAGTGGCGGTACAAAACTGAATTATATTGGATCAGAGGCACAAGTTTTGCACCTGTGTAACAGTTCAATAGAATCAGTATGGCATTCAACAATGTACAAAATGCATAATGAAATCTTAATTTCACATCGCGAATCCCTATATAGAAACACGTTAAATAAAAGAAACCACCCAAAACCAACATTATTTTTGTATCAAAAATAAAGACTCAGCAAATGAAATAAAAGCTAGATAAAGCACAATATGGATTTTATATTGATATTTTGACTCGGAAAATGATGAAAAATGCCAGATGGAAAACATTATGTATTTAAACTGGATTTTTTTGATACGGTTATTGTAAACGAGGCTAAATTGTTAAGACTGGATCCAATTGCAATGATAAAAAATTCGTAACAGAGTTATCAACGTCCCCCGTCTAAGGGAAGTTTTACTTGAATAATTCAATTATGATTGAGGTATAAATCTTGACTTTCAGTGCAAAAATTTTATCAATGCTAGATCTGCACATGCAAGTGACAATTAATTTATTGAAGAAATATAAAATATAAAATACCTCCTGTGTATGTGTCAACAGAAATACATTTTGTATAGTTGTTATCACCATTTCAAAGCCACAAAATATGACAAATACAAACTCAATACAGGGTGTTGTCTGTTACAGGGTACATTTGGTGCCCAGTCCGTAAAAGTGGGCGGTTCACCAATGACATTTTATTTGCATGGACCTGACTTATTCTTGGCATCATTTTCAGAAACAGACCATTTTATGCTTTGATCGAACTCCATGACCTTGACATTTGAGGTAGGGGTAAGGTGTTGCGTATGACATGTTGTCTTATTATTCTAAACATTTATGCCAAGTTATCTTAAAATCCCTTGATTGTTGAAAAAGTTATAACCTGATACAAAATAAACCCAAGAACAGACCATGTTAAGCTTTGGTCCCCAAGTGAGATCTTGATCTTGAAGGAAGGGATCCGGATGTTGCGCATGACACATCGTCCCATTGTTGTGAACATTTGTGCCAAAAATTTTCAAAATCTCTTGAACGATCAAAAATTTTGGACTGGACACAAAACATACCATATAAAAGACAATGTTAAGCTTTGACCTCTAAGTGTAACCTTCACATTGGAGCTAGGGGTCCGGGTGTTGTGCATGACACATTTAATTATTATTGTCAACATTTGTACAAAGTAATTTCAAAATCCCTTGATCTATGGAAAAGTTATGACCAGGACACAAAATATACCCTTTACCAGACCATGTTAAGCCTTGACTTCAAAGTGTGACCTTGGTCTTGAAGGTAGGCGACTGGGTGTTGCGCATGACATGTCGTCTCATTTTTGTGAACATTTTTGCCAAATATTTTCAAAATCCCTTGATAGATGAGAACGTTATGGACCGGACACCACAAATACCACTGAACAGACAATGTTGACCTATCAACACCAAGTGTGACCTTGACCTTGGAGGATGGTCTCAAGAAGTTGCGCATGACACGTTGTCTCGTTATTGTGAATATTTGTGCCAAGTATTTTCAAAATCCCTTGATGGATAAGAAACTTATGAACTGAAAACAAAATATACCCTTTAGCAGACCATGTTAAGCTTTCACCACCAAGTGTAAACTTGGTGTTGCGCAAGACACATCGTCATATTATTGGGAATATTTGTGCCAAGTAATTTCAAAATCTCTTGATCTGTGAAGAAGTTGTTGTTGTTGTTGTTGTTGTTGTTTTTTTACCAGCAAAAATGATTATCATCATATTATACAAATGAATTGTTATCATATAATGCCTGCTTAGATTTTGTACTTTTGTTTTAGTTTCATTTCTAATACATGTATTCAAGTAAGAACAACCAACCCTGTAAATATATAATATTTAGCCTTTGACCTTTTTTCTGATACATATAGGAAGTATCTTGCAGTGGTAAAATGTTCTAAAATGCGGATTATATATGTACCTCAGTGTGCATTTTTAAATTGATTATACATATTTTCAATCATAATTTAACCGAAATATTTTTATTTCTTTGGATATCAAATATATACAAGGTGGTTACTACATGGTAAATTTATGTGTTTCTTTGCTTTGTTTCTATACGCATTGTCAACGGTTTCTATACAAACACTTTTAAAAGGGCTGTCGAAGGTCTTAAAAAATTGCATTTTTACATTAATTAGAACTGATTTCTTATTTTTTTATTTTTGTTCTCAACATGCCATAATTGTTTTTACTGCAATCCAACGTTATACATAAAGAATGCGTATTGACCCAAAATTATGAAGCTTTTATCTGTAAATATTCAGATTGATATGCATAACCTTCATTCTACCGATTTTTCGCCGCCAAAATTAAGTATTGAGTTCAAATATACTTAATAGAGTGTAAAAAAGTAAATATTTATTTCCTAAGGTACGGGAAATATACGCTTATGGCACGGATATGTAGCTATATTTGTTAGCATAGGTCAATATACGAATATTTTTCATAGTAATTGAACTAAACGTATGGATTGTTGGCTATTTTTATTTACAAAAACTAAAATTTGAAAGTCTATTTAAAATATACAATGCATTCGCTATTCATACAAATGTGCATAAATTTTATAGAATGCAATAAGCCGGTGGATCAAGTTTTATACACATAAAAAAGTAATGAAGTGTTACATTGAGGCAGATTATTTTATTAATCATCAAGGTAATGTAGTAATTTTCTCAGTTCATACAATACTTCTACGACAGTTCTACGACAGTTTAGGGATGATTTTTAAAACTTTTTCTTACTCCAAAGTAATGTTCTGACACTTTGCCAGAACTTTGGACTCTCAAAAAATGAAAACGAGGCTAGATGGGGTGCGATATGGATTTGAAACGAAACTTTTGCACTCTGGAAATAAAAACTGGACTGTTTCGCTGTGATATGGGTTTCATATAGAACTGGACTAGTGTGGGTTTTTCAGTCGTCACACATTTAAGGGCGTGAAAGAAGCCGGTGACTGGTCTACTTTTCTTTTCATCTTACAAAAAAAAAAACTTTCTAAAAATTTGAAGATTATGTTTTAGGCGTAATATAACCATAGTTTCCTTTTTAGTCCTTTCGGAATAATTTTTTATAACTGTTCCGTTCTGTTTAATTTATTTAAAAATGTGACAGACGTTGATTATATTGCTTTGTAGTCCCGGCAAAAAAATATTAACATTTAATTACTACTACAATGTATTAACAACGTTGAATTTTACAGATTTCATTCACTGGGAATCACACTTGCCTTTTTTCTTTTCTATATTGTCGATTCAATGCAGACTTACATCAACGGAACAAATGAAAATATTGCACATGAATAATTTAAATGTTCCGTGAAACACAATCATTTAATAACTTACAAATCAGTGATCCCAATTTTATCGGTTTTCTTCTCTTCCATGATTTAACTTGCTTATACGTATTCCGGTAGAACCGGTGCATACTCGCATAGAAGCGAGACCGTATAGAAGCCATTTTGGGTGGCACCGTGATATACATTCTTTATACATTATCAAATTCTATTGGCAATATTGTCCTGAGACATTTAAATATTCAATGACCATTAGAAGGTAATTATCGGGTTCCGAAGTAAACCATACGGATCTTAACTTATGACAATGGTAAATGTATAACTTACCAACACATTGACTTACAAGCCTCAGTGACAATGAGTAGGACTTTCAGTTACTTGTAGATTCGAATCGAGTCAAATGTTTTCTTTAATGATTTTTTTTATTATTATTTTTTGCAGAACTTGACTAGTATGTTTTTTGCATGCGAGTCACTCATTGTACGGCTTACGCAATGAATTTATGAATACCAGATATCGAAATTAATGAAATGAAAAGAATATGTATCTATCAAAATGATGAAATTGAATAATACTGATAGAAATATAACACACTTTATCAACTCGTTGTGCATATAATTAACAGAAATGAAAATAAATCAGTTTATGAAAACTACAAGAAAAGGTTTGTCCATTATTCAAACCTGCAACTACGTGTTCCCAATCCCGTCGTTCTTAACAATAAGCCATTGAACAGTATTTATTGATTAAATTAGACACTTAGGATGTGGAGCTTCCAACGTCTTAAAATCCAAATAAAATGTATACTTGTCAAATACCTCCCGAAAATTAATGAGTCTCGGGTAAATATTGCCAAAGTCCGAGGTTATTTTGAATAATAGACGTGGTTTTCCGATTGAATTAAATGTGATTTATACGGATTGCATATACCGTGGGTTCCGTCGCGAAAATGCTATGCAAAAAGTTCGTTAGTTACATTTCATACCGGTAACCGCATGGCTCATGTGAGATTCTTTAAATAAATATGCACTTAACAAAGTGCTAAGTACTAAAGTACTCCTATCATACATTGAACATTTTCAGAAATATTTGGATTGTAAATTTGAAATTTGTACAATCATAAGTTACACATGTACATAATTTCCTGTTTGTTTCATTATATCTACATAGCAATATGCACCTTATTAAAAGAATAAGATTCAGTTGCATAACATCATACATGTATCTTGATTAAATGTCCGTAAAAGTCTTAAAATCGTGAACGGACGTTTTTTATTAACAATGGAGATTTGATTTTGTATACAAAGTATCATGCAAGTTCAAGTTTTTGTTCAGGAAATATATACAGATTGGTATCCTATCCTCGTACATATTTTAAATCTGAGTACTTAGAACATTTGTTAAGTATGTATATGGAGATATCAAGTGATTGCGAAAATAAAATTCAGCTTTCATAAGTCATACTCACGTATATTTTGTTCTACAATTGATAATCCAAAAAGTGCAAGTCTCGTAGCGTACTGTTGTCGTAGCGGTTGTATATTCTACCTTATATTTGTCTGCGCTGAAAGTCAATTCAAATTTCTTGATTTAAAAGGTAAAGAAACTGACATGCAAGGAAAATCAGTGTTTATAGTGCTCTTTTATTCAAATTAATAAATTTAGAAGGGAAAGAAACACTGACATGCAAAGAAAATCAGTGTTTATCGTGCTTGAATCTTAATATTTACATTTATTTATTTAATCCAGTCCCATCCATATACAATATTGTATAAAATACATTTATATAGCCATTCTATAAGAATGTTTAGAGACTTAACATCATAATCATAATAGGATGAATATTAAAAATCAGTATTAAAGATAACCAGTGTTCAACAAAAATATACACTACTATAAAATATTCAGATCATACTTGTTTAAGTGACTACTGAATGATGAGTTTATTTTGCGGTTCTAAGAGAATGCTTTAATGATATTTTGGTTCTAATTTAAAAACAAATTATCAGCTTTTCGGCGATCTTTTAATTTGCTCATTCCTTCACTTCAGCATTGTTAGTTGTATGTATACAAGCGTGGAACTATTTAGCTAGCTGTAGATGGTAGTTCCTGGATCTACTCAGATCTTGATCACAATTAAATTTCAGTATAAGTCCCATTAATTTATTAGACTTCTTTGCAATGTGATTAAATAATTAGAACAAATCAATGCTTTTCAGTACAATTATCATATATAATAACAGATCATAAACGGCAATCATGTGGCATTTTGACTGTAGTTGTTAAATGCATGCATTTAAACCCAGGGATCGTGGGTTTGTGCCATGCTAGGGTCAAGACCATGTTTTTCTCATATGACACCAGTATTGAGGAGTTCCAGGAATCGAGGTCGAGAGGGGATATAATAAGATAAAACTTTTTTTTTCTACACAACTGAGATTAAATAGAGGATATTGAATGAGTGTAAGTTCAATACTGAATTTATTGCACGAGTTGAATAAAATTATATTATGCGAGCCTCTAACGAGCATGATATTAGTTTATTCAACGAGTGCAATAAATTCAGAAATGAACTTACACGAATTTAATATTCTATTTATCACATACCCAAAATAAAGACCGTTTAAAGTGAAATAAGAGTCATTTTCCGTTGACGCGCCTACAGTAGAACGCTAACATTTAGCGCGTCTTTACACTATGTTTGCATAACGCTAATGACGTCACGTCAAAATAAATGCACGGCCGTGCAATACCATATTTAAGGAGTCGCAAAATCGGCACGGGTGTGTGATAAATAATGTTAAAACACGGTAGACTATTCAATATTCATTAAATATTTTTCTTTACACTCACTAATGTGTTGTTGTGTAATTTGTCTGACCATTTTTGCATTGAAGTCCATAAGACTGGCAAACTACAAGAAGAATCACTATGGTGACACAAATTAGCGCCTTCAGCATCTCTAGTGTCTCGTATTTCGGGCGTTTTTGTTCCCTAGACTTTCAAGACATCTATATTTTCGTCCCTGTCCGAAGTCTCTGTTCTCTGGAATTTTCAAAGCTTCTTTGTTTTCTGAAATAATATGTGACAATCAAGCGTAACAGTAACAATATTCAGATATGAATAGAAATATATGATAGGTATTATAGGTAAAGAAAGACATACTGAAATATTTTTGATACGAGTTGTTTCACACGAATGGATATATCATACATATAGTCAACACCACTAAATTAATCAAGGTATTTTCATTGGTCAATGTTAACCTATATCAGTCATACACCTAAACAACGAAGTTTTCAGTCATGCTTTTTACTCATTTCTGAAAAGGGCCAACAGTCCGCTAAAATTGTGTGTGTCTGTAAAAGTCATCATTTTCTAAATGTTCTTGTTTGCAGAATATTATAACTTTGTGTTACAAAGGTAATGATGACTAATATTTCACTATCTAGAGCTATGAAATTAAGTACTTTACAACCTAAGCATTAAAAAATCTGAAGGTGGAACTCGACACGATCAAAATATGCCTTTAACATAGAAGTCAAATTTATTGTCTTATAAGCACAAAATAATGATATATTTTTTTGTAAAACGTGAAAGCAAAAGATAGACACATTAGCAATAAAAGATTTTGACTTGACATAAAACTATTGTGCAAATACATTGTATCAATTATTTCAAAGTTGCCTTATAGAATACAAATTTGCAATATAAGGACATTAAACAAAGTATAATTGAAATACTCCAAGCTGTGAACATTACTCTATTACTCAGTAATATCAGTGATTAATACATATATTTTTTCATAGGCAATGTCATGTCCCTTAATGCAAAAAAAAAAATTAAATGCACAGAAAATGGCAGAACTCTATTATCACTAATGGATAGATAAAATCAAATTTTACCTGTGCTTGATATATACATTGTTGACAAAATTAATATTATACAAATTCTCAAAATTAATCCTGCGGAATTGCAAATATTAATTTCACAGAAAATGTGTATATAAATGTTCATAACTATATCAATAATAAATTGATTGTATAAGGGAAATCAAACTTGGCCTGTGTTTTGATATAACTAATTCCATGCCAAATAAAAACATCCTGTGGAAACAAATAATTTCACAGAAACAATAATTATAGCTATTTGCGCATGCGCGAAGTGAAGAAGTTTTGAAAATTTTCTCTCGAATTTTTTCTATAAAAAGTCTAAATCTAAGACAATAAGTGAAACAAATATGGAATATTATGATGGATTATAGACATAGGTATTATGTGTTACATATATTGCATTTCATAAAGCGCATTTGACGTACATTTAAAGCTGTAACATACTTCATTTTGAAGAAATCCACAATCTCTTTGTTTGATCAAAGATCAGAGGATTATAAAACGTGTAATACAACGTGTTGACCAATACAATATAACTGTATTTAACACTGGATAGTTTGACCACAGTGTATTTACTGGATAAACATAGTGCTTAGTAACTTGGTGCATAATCAGAATATAGTAATATTGAAAAACAATTGAAATATCCCAAAATCGAAAGGAATTTGAACCCGTGCAATTAACAGATAATACAGAAGTTAAAATCCCATATATTGGTAATAATTCAGATAAATGGTCACCAATGGTCACCAAAAAGACCAGACTATCCACAGTATTTGCTGATGCTGCACAAAATTCATTTTCTGAGTCAATATTCGTTGATAGTGAAACCAATGATGATCTTGAGGAACTTACTCGCTTACGAGGACTTATACAAGACTTTCCTACAGACATGTTTGCAAATCAGCTGTTGATTGATTATAATCACTCAGAAACTAGACTAGAAAAAAGTCGAAAAATGTTATTTAGCATTCTGAAAGAACTTGACGATTTCCCATATGATAGGGATAGTGACCTTAAACGCAGAATGAACACTCGAACCGGAGACTCACTCTGTGCAAAACTTGCATATGACATACACGCAATGTTATCAGTAATCGAAGGCGAAGACTTCACAAGCATAAAGGAGCTTATCAGCATACCAAAACGCACAAACCGAAGGAAGTCAATGCGGGCACTCCCGGCAACTCCAATAGAAGACCATTCTGCCTGCAAGGTAGAAATTTCTCAGTTGAAATCGATTGTGGCTTCGCTTCAAGCCGAAATTCTCCTGATCAAACAGACGAATGTGGCCAAAGAAAAACAAGTTAAAGATGACTTTAATAATATTGAAAACACGATTCAAGAATGCTTCTCCGAACATGACAACAAAACATCTGATTTGTCATCTGTGACTCAAAATCTGGAAGAAAGAGTCTCATACCTGGAGGCAACGGTCGCTGCAAACTTTTTAACGTGCAAAAATTTAATCTGCTCGTATCAAAATAGTGTCAAAAACTGTCAAGACAATGTCATACGACTTTCATCTGAATTTGTTAATATAAAATGTAATACAAAAAGTAGTAAAACTACTGAACAGGATTGTCACTTGGTTACAGAGACTGGCGCTAATAAATTCTGCCCAAACTCAAATGTCCCAAGTAGCACATCAGTTTCTGTACCAAATGGCGACACCTCAGCTAAACAACCCCCTCCAACCTTTCTGGTACATACAACCTCTTCACAGTCCAACTGTCACTACAAAGATCCCCAAAAAAGTCCCCCACTCATACAAACAGAGAAAACTGATACTCAAAGTACGGAAAGTGTTAGTTCAATCCCTACTCTAATACGCCCTCGAACTAAACCCCACGGGAAAAATACATTAACTTATGCAGAGGCCGCAAAACAATTTTTCCCAAACTCTAGTCAGCAATATGACACCCCGATCAAAAACAACGGGGACATCCCTATACAAAATAGCAAAGATATGATAACTTGTACAGATAACGATGAGAATTTCTCACAGTTTGTTAGGAAACGAACAAAACGTTTCTTTGTTGGCGGATTTAAGCCAACTATTGATGAAGCCAAAATGGCTCAGTACGTTCGTAATAAGGGCCCCAAGGTCACAAAAGTTTCTATATTTAGGAACAAAAAATATAGGTCAGTTGTTATACGGCTTAATGTTGAAGATGACGAAAAGTCTCACCTTTTAACAGACGATCCAAACTTTTGGCCAAAAGGCATTCATTGCCGTCCTTGGTTAACGCACAATGGTTACAAAAAACGTTATGACGTTAAACTTAATAATGGTGAGCAGCACGATCAAACGGTACATTCCAGGGAACATCGCACATCACACAGTCATCAAAATCAACAATATTTTGAGAATACTAATATGTATAGTACTCTGTACGGGTATAAGGATTAGAATACCGTTACGATTAGTGATCATAGTAACAAAGAATGTAATATAAAGTACAGTTATGGACCCAAAGGGAAATAACTGCGTCACTATTAGCACATAGAATGCAAATGAAATTATGTCAAGCGCTAGTTACTTGTGAGATTTTCCGCAAAACAACAATATTGACATATTTGGCATTTCAGAACACTGGCTTTATAGGGAGAACCTAGGTTTCTTAAACAGTATACATACAGGATATACAAGTTATTCCTTTTCCGACCCTGATTTACTCTTTCCTTCGAAAAGAAAGGTTGGTAAGGGCGGCATTGCTTTGTTATGGAAAAAAGAATTTAATGAACGTATTTTACCTATTCAACTAAGCACCGATAAGATTATTGGTATTCAAGTACTTTTAAGTCCTGGTATATATCTTTATATTATACAAGTATATTTTCCATGTAAGAACCATAGTATTAAAACATACAAGGAATATTTAGATGAGATAGAAAATATTATATGTACATATCTGGATAAAGGCACTTTAATTGTTATGGGTGACTATAACACAGAACTTGTTAGCCAACGAGACATTTCACCAACTGTGCTAGATTCCAGAGGCAAATTATTAACTAATATAATGGACAGACTTGATATGAAATCTTTGTGTACATTAGACATCTGTAAGGGTCCGGTATTTAGTAACGTGCCTTATAATAGTTCTAGAAATACTCTTATAGATCATGTATTTGTACAAACATTATATACCGAGAATATCAAATATTGCAAAATATTAGAAGACAATGCAATTAATGTGTCGACTCATAGACCCATTATTTTTTCCATAAAATGTCCCCAACAAATAGAAAATACATTCTCAAGCGCAAATCATAAAAATGTAATTAACTGGCACAATGTGAAAGACTCAGACTTGAATTTGTATAGACAATATCTAGAAAATAGTGACGTGTTGAAAACCGCTGTCGATGTACCGATATATGACAGTGACGGAATAGATGACTTATATTCTGCCATAGTGTTAATCGTAAATATCTCGACAGATCTAAATATACCAAAAGTACGTTATAAACCATATATAAAACCATACTGGAATGATCATTTGTCACAACTACATAAAGATATGAAAAGTAAGCGTCATACATGGATAAGCAACCAAAAACCCCGTGAAACTGACTCGTCTCACTATAAGTCCTACAAAGGTGCAAAAAGAATATTAAGAGCAGCACATAGAACAGCAGTCCAGTCATACAGCAATAAACAAGAAAAAGAAATTGACTTGGCTACTGAGTGTGACAATAATGAATTCTGGAGAAATTAATAAATAAAAGACGCTATAAATGAATTCAGAACCAAGGTTTTGAAATGAACTTTGACGGTAATATTGTGACTGACTAGGTGGAAATGAATTCTAATTGGAAAGACTATTTTATGATTTGTACTCACCAAGCTGCCATTATTCATTTAAAGAAAATTACAAAACCGAAATTCAGACAGAATTCGATGAAATAAACAATAACATTAATTCAATAAATGGCCGGAAATTTGTTATCACAGAAAACATGACAAAAGAAGCGCTGAAAAGCTGTAAAACACGCAAGGCTTGTGGCGTCGATAAATTGTACTACGAAAATTTTATGCACGGCGGTCAACTTTTAATCAAAGTGATAACTAAACTTTTTAACCACATGATGAACTTATCGCACACGCCAGTTGATATGAAAAGGGGCGTCATCACTATTTTGTACAAGGGAGTAACAAGAAAAAGACATGCC